AACTTTGTTATCGAAAAACTATTGTTTTTATTGTTAAAGTTTCTATCATACTCAACTTTTTTTTTCTTCCTCATCCATTATGATCATGACCATTTCAATGAATAAGTCCTCCACAAATATGATTATCTCTTTAATTATTATATTATTATATGTAGTTGTTATAAACTGTTTCTAACTTCTCATTAAGTTATAAAATTAATTAGTCCTTATAGTTGTTGACCCAACTTCATAACTCAAATGTTTAAAATATTACCACCATTTACGACTTGGTAATTGCGCAGAAGCTAATTCAAATTTTGTAATTAGGGAACTTTTTAAGACTAATTCAAACAATCTTTTATCTATAAATAGGGATACCTCACTTATCATATTAATCACATAAACAAAGAGATCACAATAATAAATTAGATTGTTTTAGAGTTCCTAATTAGTGATGTCTCTTAAGTCATTTGTATTAATCATTGCCATATTGGCTGTGGTTACTTTAATAAGCCATGCATCTGATCCTAGTCCTTTACAAGATTTTTGTGTTGCTGTTAATGACTCCATGACTACTGGTAAATTTATTATTGAATTACTTGTAAACTTTTCTTAATCATAATTTTAATTAACATTAGCTAGTTGTGTTATGTATATGTTCTAATTATAATTCCTTATTATGCAGTTTTTGTGAATGGAAAAGTATGCAAAGATCCAAAGGTTGTCACTGCTGATGACTTCTTCAAATCAGGCTTAAACGTAGTTGGAAATACTTCAAATAATGTTGGATCTGCAGTAACTGCTGTGAATGTTAACAACTTACCAGGGCTCAACACTCTAGGGATTTCATTAGTTCGTATTGACTATGCACCATACGGTCTCAACCCACCACATACACACCCTAGAGGAACCGAGGTTCTTACGGTCCTTGAGGGCACACTCTATGTTGGTTTTGTCCTTTCAAACCCGGGTCCAAACATGAAGAACAAGCTCTTTACCAAGATTCTACATCCTGGAGATGTGTTTGTTTTTCCAATAGGTCTCATTCATTTTCAATTCAACGTGGGAAAAACTAAGGCAGTTGCATTTGCTGGACTTAGTAGTCAAAATCCAGGAGTCATCACTATTGCAAATGCAGTATTTGGCTCAGACCCACCAATCAATGACGATATCCTCGCTAAAGCATTCCAAGTTGATAAGAAAGTTGTGGATTATCTCCAATCACAATTCTGGTGGGATAACAACTAAATTAGTATAAGCCAAACTAAGGTGCTATAATTATTAATTTGTGTGGTTTTTATTTGTAATCGTTAATAAACTTCAAGATTATCCAGTCATGTTGACTAATTTTACTTGATCTGTATTAGATGTACCATAAGCATGATATGTTATTGTTTTATTATAATAAAATTACCTTTATTGTTTGTTGTTGTAATAAAGTACAATGAGTCTTCCCTTAAAGAACAACAAGAATCTTAATTAGTTCCTCTAGGGTATGCATGACGTGAATTGAGACCACATCGTGCAAGAAATGTCAAGGCCTGATTCGAAGAGGTCATCATCATTGCCAAGTTATGAATACTTGCAAATTTTTCAATTAACAAAAACTGTATAATCAAAACAATATAATATTTACATACCAAAGAAAATAAAAAGTACTTAGAGAATAAACAAAACATAATATAAATTTTGAAAAACATGAAATAAGTACATTTAAAACGAATAAAACTTGAGTACTTTCTCTATCTCAAAATATCTTTTGTGATATCCTTTTACACACCCTTAAGAAATATTAATTAGGAGGGTTTTTTTATTATTATTATTATTTTATCCTAGATTGATATTTGAATAATCATAAAATCCTTAGAATTGAGGTAATTATAGTATTCAAAAATAATAATTAGAAAAGATAAAATAAAAAGAAAATAATTAATTTTTATCTTAAATTTCTAAACAATAAATAATTAAGATAATTTTTTATAAAAATATGACAGATAATAATTTAATACAGAAGAAAACAACAATTAAGAATTTATCGGTTGCTCTAGAGTCATTAATAGCAACACAAAAGTCCTGCAAGGGACTATGGTCGGATACAGTGCTAGGTGAAGATGCCAAAGCCATATTGGTAATGGTAATTAACAAACGATCTCTTCGTCTTAAGATAAGTATCGCTTTATAAAAAAATTTATTCTATATACAATAATTGTAAAATTAAAAAATTGAGACAAAATAATAAATTTATATATATATTTATTAAGAATTATTATCTCCATCTCATAATAATAGTTATTCATCTAATTACTATAAATTAATAGTTGTTCCGTATTACTTGTTCATTTATCAAATTAAGACAAAATTAATTAAAAATCTACCATGTTAACCCTACAATTAATATTATTTGAAAGACTAAATAAATTTTGTAAGTTCCAAAAAAAATTGTTTTCAAAGGAGTGGATAAAGGGTAAAATAATAAAATTAATAATTTTATTTCTATGATTTCTTAAAGAACATGTAAAGAAAAAAGTAAATAGTAACTAATATGAGATGGAGAAAGTACTATTTCTATTTAGTAGTGCTCAATTCTTAAGAAATTTCTACTCCATCCGTTCCTTTTTAGTTGTTATGGTTTCTTTTTTTAGTGTCAAACAATAAGAACTTTAATTAACAATTTATCATGTATTTTTTTTTAATCATATTGATATGTAAAAAATTGCAATTTATGATACTTTCCGTATAGTTTTTGAATATCTAATTTTTGGTTTAAAATATCAAATTAATGAATCTAATTTAACTTTGAAAATTAGTCAAATTGACTTTTGAAAACCGCAGTATGACAATTTAGCCAAAATTAAATTAATTTTAAATGTCAAATTGAATTAATAAATATGTGGATCATTACTCATAGATATTGCATCTGATGTCCTTAATTCTCCATGCATTTACTTTATTATATTTTGAATCGTCGATTATCAATGCGTGATTTTTTTTTTTAATGTTATTAGAAAGCCGCCTCGTGGCCCACCGAAGTGAGAGTAACAAATACAGTATCGATCGAGTAATTGAATTCTAAAACATTAACAGGTGAAGAAGATCTAATTGTATTGTTTTAATATATTTTGTTTTCCATTATTGTAGTACTACTACTCTTAAACTGCACAAGTAGGGATATTATGTTCTACATCATGCAAAGGAATAAAATTTATATTATTGAGGCCAAGATACATATATATATGTCCATATATGTACAACAATCATCTCTATAATCATTTATCCAAATATTCTTTAGTTGCTATAACAAATTGCTATTATATATAAAGAATGTATAACATAACATAACATGAAAGTCGATTTTAATTAAAACTTGACTATTATAGTAAAATGTTATTATTATAAAAAGGGGTGATTGTTCATTGTATATAGCTATATTTCTCAATTATTACTCCGGTAATTTAAATTGCAATGACAGTTTTTTTTTATAAATATGAATGGTGTAAGTAAAAGAATAACAAACTTTCTTCTCGCGTGCAAATTCTAACGTAGTGATCAGTACTTAAATATACTTTAAACTTAATTAGTACAGTAGTTTAATACTACTACAAATTAAGATTTTAGAGTAATTAAAATCAACATATTATTGTACACATTATTTATTACAACCACTACATCAAAAATGATTGGTAACTAACAATAGCTTAATTATTGTTAAATACTCCCTTCGCCCACTTTTTTTTGTCAGGTAATGCTTTTCGAAAGTCAATTTGACTAATTTTTAAAGTTCAATTTGATTACATTAGTTGAATATTTTAAACAAAAAATTTAGGTATTCAAAAACTTTACAAAAAGTACTATAAAATTGTTATAGTTTGACTCTAAAAAAGGAAACTGTGATAATTAAAAGTGAACGGGGTAGTATATTTTTAGAAGCAATTAACATTTTTTTTGTAAATATTCCTAAAACCTATAGCAACATTGAATCCAATGATAATCAACTAATGACGATAAAGATTTTAACACTCTTTAGTAATGTGCATATTTATTACCGCTAAAAGCTATTTTGTCGCAATAAACATCCTAAAAGGTGAAGTGTTTCCAGAAGCAATGGGAAAGTTCCGGCGGCCATTGCCAGTTCCTGTTCCTGATGATCAATATGTCATGACTAAGACAATACAAGTTGGTACTAAGTAAGTGGAAAAAATTTAAGTCATCAAGGCTGGCACCTAAGAAATAGGTTGTTTCATTAATGTTGTAACACCCTCATAGTTTATTTTTTTCAATCCAGTATCCGATATTTGTATTTGATTAATTTAGATTCGCATCGCGTAAAATCTCATTCTGGGCAAAACACTCCCTACCAAAGAGTTTTTCATTCCCAGAGAACTCGAATCCAAGACTCTGATTAAGGAAAGAACAACCTTATCTGTTGGTGGTCTTGAACAAGATTGAATAAAATGTGATCGATTTCGAACTTTACATTCAATAGTTAGTAAAAACTAAGATAAGGTAGATAGCTTGTTACATTGGGTTAAGTTATAACTTATACGGATAGTATAAAAAGATTTACATGATAATATTGTAGTAATTTTTACGTGAATTTTTACTAGAAAAAGTTCTTTAATATATTTAAGGGGATTTTCTTTTCTCGTCCTTTCCACAATTAGATCGACAAGTACCTAGCTTAAAAATTTGAAGATTCCACGAGCAAATTATTGATCAAACTTAAATTGTTTAATTCTCGAAAAACAAAATGTATCACATAATCGAGACAAAGAGAGTATCAAATTTCTCAACGTACGTAGGTAAATAAGATTTGGTCTTTTGTAGTTGTTGAAGAAAGCTTCAATTAATAATCAAGTGTTTAAAAATGTTTACTGTTGATGACTTGGTAAACCAAAGTTTAATATATTTTTTTAAAGGAAATTAAGGACCAATTCACACAAATAATCATCTATAAATAGGAAGTATTTTCTTATTATGTTTGTCAAAAACCAACTAAACAAAACATCATTTCATAAGTAGCAATGGCTTTCAAGTCTTTAATATTAGCCATTGCCATAATGGCTGTATTATCATCAATGAGCCATGCATCTGATCCTAGCCCTCTTCAGGATTTTTGTGTTGCTGTTGATGACACTAAGAATGCTGGTATATTACTAAAATACAAACATGATCTACACTATTTTTATCATATTTTATAAAGTTTTCTATATTAATTTGTTGACTTTTATCTAATTAAAACTTCTTTCTTTTACGCAGTTTTTGTGAACGGAAAATTTTGCAAGGATCCAAAGCTTGTTGTGGCGGAGGATTTCTTTAAATCGGGTCTGAATATGCCTGGAAATACTTCAAATAATGTTGGATCTGCAGTAACTCCTGTGAACGTCAACAACTTACCAGGATTGAACACTCTAGGCATTTCTTTAGCTCGTATTGATTATGCACCATATGGTCTCAACCCGCCGCACACGCATCCTAGAGGAACTGAGTTTCTTGTTGTCCTTGAGGGTACACTCTATGTTGGTTTTGTCCTATCAAACCCTGGTCCAAATATGAAGAACAAGCTCTTTACCAAAATTCTACATCCTGGAGATGTGTTTGTCTTCCCAATAGGTCTCATTCATTTTCAATTCAACCCAGGAAAGACTAAAACTGTTGCATTTGCTGGACTCAGTAGTCAAAATGCAGGAGTCATTACTATTGCAAATGCAGTATTTGGATCAGACCCACCCATCAGTGATGATGTTCTTGCGAAAGCATTCCAAATTGATAAGAAAGGTATTGATTACCTCCAATTAAAATTCTGGTGGGACAACAACTAAAACTTTTATTTCAAAAAATACATGATCTACTAATAGTTATGGTTTTTATGAATTGCTTCGCTTTTGTCACAAAAATAAGTATTGATCATGTCAACTGGTTTGATTTCCTCTCCATTTTAGTGTGACGTACGTACATTGGATGAGGATATATGTTATGTGGTTTGTTATATGGAATAAAAATAAGTTTGTTGTTTGTGATATTTCATTCTTTATCCCTCGTTACTCGTTAATTTCTTATTTTCTAACAGTGATATTGTACTTGCTATATATATTCTTTAATCTCCGCTATGGGAGGGAAGTAATTCCATCGATCTTCAGAGCATATAAAAAGTAATTTTAATTTCGACCTACACAAAAAGTATCGTCACCACTGCTCATGACCAAGTGGAATAATTATCTCATTTCAGCCACATATATATGAACCTTGAATGGTATACAAATAATTAAAGAATGTGTGAATCCAATATATAATAAGTGAATATATTCATTTGTATTACTTTCCATGTAAGGAATATATTCTCCAATCTCCACCATCCTATGACAAAAGCCTTTTCAGCCATTAGTAATAGAAATGATTCAACTAGTACCCATCCTTTCATTCTTAATCAGAAATTTCGAACGAGTCACAACTCTGAAATAATATTTAAAATCTTGTACGAGCTGGAATTGGATCTCGATATAAAGATTTTTTTCATCATATATATAAGGGAAAAAAGACAAATATACCCCTGAATTATCGTAAATGGTATGCAGATACCCTCCGTCATACTTTTGGGACATTGGTACCCCTGTCATCCAAAAACTAGAGCATATATGCCCTTTATGCTACCATTCTCGATAGTTCGGGATATATTTGTAAATATCTCAACTTTAGCTAATCTAAAGTCCTCAACCTCAATTTTTGTAACTTATATTCTAGCTCCTACTATACAATTTATTACTACTAATGGATGGCTAACATAAGTGAACTATGTTCAATGGCCACCAGACAATTAGCTTATGATCAATCATCCAACACTTACGGAAAGTCATATGATGTGTTTTTGAGTTTCAAAAGTGAAGACACTGGTAAAAATTTCACAAATCACCTCTCTACAGCTTTAAATCAAGCCGGATTTGGCACGTTCGAAGGTGGTGATGATAATAAATCAAGAGGAGAAGAAGACATTAATTCAGAGTTGTCTAAAGCAATACAAGATTCAAAGATGTGTATAATTGTATTCTCACAAAATTATGCATCTTCTAGTTGGTGCTTAGATCAACTTGTTTCCATTCTTGAATACAAAATGAAGTTTGCATGTATGATATTCCCTATTTTCTACCATGTTGATCCTTCCAATCTAAGGAAGCACAAGGGAAGTTTTGGAGAAGCATTAAATAGACATGAAGAAAAATTCAAGTGTGAAAGAGTATATGAAAATAATGAAAAAGAGTATTGGGAGGACAAGTTAAAGAAATGGAAAGATGCACTAAGCCAAGCTGCTGATTTGGCAGGAATGGTCCTTGAAAATCAGTAAGTTATCTTTATTCATGTATCGTCAGTGTAACAAATTTTTACATCTTTATTTGTTATAGCAGGTAACCTGTCTTATTTTCAAGATTATAAATCTCAAATCTTAAGGAGTGCTCTTGATTTTTCAGGCATGAATCCACTTTCATCAAGAAGATTATTAACGTTATCAGCACAAGACTAAGTCGTCCAGCGTTATATATTGCTTCTTGTTCAATTGGAATACATCGTAGAGCCAGGTCCATTAATTCTTGGGTTCAAGCTGATGGATCGAACAATTCCAATATTGAAATACTTCTAGTTTGCGGTATTGGTGGAATTGGAAAAACAACACTTGCCAAATTTGTTTACAATTTAAACTTTGGATATTTTGAAATTAGTTGTTTCTTAGCAAACATAAGAGAAACTTCAAAACTCCCTAATGGTCTCATCACTTTACAAAAGCAACTTCTTTCTATCCTTGTAAAGAATGAAAAGGTAAAAATATCAAGTGTTGATGAAGGAATCATCAAGATAAGAAATGCTTTATGTTATCGAAAAGTTCTTCTTGTTCTTGATGATGTTGATGAGCCTGATTTGGTTGAAGCTATATTTGACATGAAAGATTGGTTTGGTTTTGGAAGTAAAATAATTGTAACAACTAGGCACAAAAGTTTATTAAGACCTCAATTAGTCCATGAGGTACATGAAGTTGGAATTTTGTACACAATTGAAGCAAATGAGCTCTTCAATTTTCATGCATTTGGTCATGAAAACAATCAAATAAGCAAAGATTATTACAAAGAGTACTTAGAGGAAGTGATTGAATGGTGTAGAGGACTTCCATTAGCTCTTCAAGTTATCGGTTCTTCGTTGGCTGGAAAATCAAAAAATGTATGGAGAAGTGCTATAGAAAAGTTGAGAGAAATTCCCACAAATAAAATTGTTGACAAATTAAGATTGAGTTATGAGTTATTGGAAGATGATCATGATCAGAATTTGTTCCTTCATCTTTGTTGTTTCTTTGTGGGGATGAAAAAAGATTTTGTAGTTAGAATACTTGATAAATGTGATTTTTACACATTAGTGGGGATACAAAATCTAATTGATAGAAGTTTAGTGACAATTGAATATGTGAATGAGATAACAATGCATCAATTAGTAAGAGATATGGGAAGAGATATTGTTCGTAGAGAAGCAACTGTGGATCCTGGAAAACGTAGTAGGCTTTGGCATCATACAGATTCTTACAATGTTCTAAGAGGAAAAACAGTAAGTAATTAACTATGTTCTAATTATTTGAAAAAAATTGTCAATTTTTACTAGGGAAAAAGGTCTGATATACCCTCAACTTTGTCATTTAAAGCTGATATATCTTCATTATAAAAGTAGCTCATATATACCATTATTGTTATACAAATGGCTCACATTTGTCTTTTGCGATTTCTATTAGGGAACAGAGGCAGTGCAAGCGATGGTACTTGACATGCGTATGATTCCCTTAATACCATTTAGACAAAGTCCAATTGGCTTTTTCACAGCTTGGAGTTCAAAATTGGGCAATTTTTGTTTACAAGATCATGTGAGAACTGATGCCTTTGAGAAAATGCACAAGCTTAAATTTCTCCAATTCAACAAAGTTCAAGTGAATGGAAGTTACAAGAATTTTCCAAAGGGATTGAGATGGCTATGTTGGAGTGGATTCCCAGAGGAGTGTATACCAAATGAGTTTCCAATGGGAAATGTTGTGTCTATCGATATGCGATACAGCTGCTTGAAACAACTTTGGAACGGATATAAGGTAATTAATTGTCTATATATTCATTTTCTTTGATCCTCATTGGGGTGTCAAAAGGGCGGATTAGGTGGGTTAACGTTAAAATGAGTTGAATCATTGCATCACTTTGGGCTACATAAGCCTCTTGAATTGGCCTAATCTTTCAAATGGGCTTACATGGATCTTATCCAATGTATGTATAGGTGAATAATATTTTATGGGCTAAATTTGACATTCTACATACTACGACTCGTATCTAACAAATGACTTTGTTTTGATGTATTAGTTTCTCCAATACCTTGAGATACTGGATTTGGGCCACTCCTATGAGCTCATCACAACACCGGATTTCTCAGGCCTTCCCAATCTTGAAAAGTTGATACTCGAACATTGTACCAAGTTAATCAATGTTCATAACACCATTGGATGTCTACAAAAACTCATGATTTTGAACCTTAAAGATTGCCACAAGTTAAAGATCCTTCCAGATAGCATTTGTGAGTTAAAATCTCTTGAGACACTTAACATCTCAGGCTGCTCAAACATTGTATATTTACCAACAGAGCTTGATAAATTAATATCACTAAAGGAACTTTATGCTGATGGGATCTCAATGACCAATTTGGAGGCCCAAACATGGTATTCATCTTTATGGGCTTGGGCCTGGAAAGGAAGAAGCCCATTATTATCTCCTAAAATTCATTTTCCTAAGTCCTTACATGTGTTAAACATTGCAAAATGCAATTTATCTTCAGATGCTTTTAACAAGGTTGATTTAGGCATTATGACCTTACTACACTGGCTAGATTTGGGAGGAAATCCGATTAACGATTTACCAGATAGTATCAAGAATCTTACGAGGCTAAAAACTCTTAACATCGCGTATTGTACAAAGATCAAGTACCTCGAAGGGGTACCATCGAATGTTACAGATGTAAATGCTGATGGATGTATATCATTGGAGAAAGTAGGTTCTTGTGCAAAAGGGCATCCAGTAGAAGGTTATATAAATTGTATAAATCTTGTTGAAATTGAAGGTGTGTTCAAGTTAGAGCCATTGGAAAATGTTGATCCTCAAGTGCTTGCCAACAACATGGGAATTTCAAATTTGGAAACTACAATGAAAAGTACTATGGTTTCTCTTGTATTTGGTCGTGTGTATAATGCTGAAAGACTTAGAAATGAATATCCAGGTTTTGTACAAGATGACATAACAAGTTTATTTTCATTATCACCTAAGAAGTTACCTCCACAGGTTTGTCTCTCCTACCCTCTTTTGACATTCATTAATTAATTTATGCTCCTCTCGTTTCAATTTGTTTGTCTTGCTTTTTATTTTATTTTTAAAAAAAATGTTTCAAGAAAAATGTCTTTTTCCTTTTTTGACAACTCTTTAATTTCAAAAAAAATTCACATGACATGTTTAAGACCACAAAATTAAAGGGCATTTTGGTATATATAGTTTAAGACTCAAAAGCTTTTCTTTATCCCTAAACTCCATGTCAAATCAAAATCAAACAAACAAATTGAAACGAAGGGAGCACTATCTAAGCTAGTTATTGATATTAATAACTACTTAATCTCAATTTGTGTGGCACTTTTCGCTTCTCGAAAGTTTATTTGACTAATATTTGAAGATAAATTGGATCAGATATATCAATTTAATATTTTAAAATTAAAATATGGAAATTCAAAAAACTATATTATAACTAATATAAGTTACAATTCTTCTCACGTCAATATGTTGGTCAAAGTTTATATAATTTGAATCAAGAAAAACGAAAAATAACACATAAATTGAGACAAAAAAAATACTTATAAATTAAGATTACGATCAAATTGCTCATATCGAGTAGTAACTCGTAAATAACTCAAAATAAATAGTAGTATGAGTTTTGTTTCAACACTTCCTCATGTATGATATTGGTGCTAGCATTAATCCTTTTCATGGGTCAAAAACATGAAAATGTTTTATATTTATTTTGTTTGGTGATGAGATCAATTAGAAATTTAGGACCTCATGAGTCATACCTGCTCTGATATGTTGAATCGTATGATCAATCATATCTAAAAGTTAAATCTATTAGACAAAGTACATTACCAATTACATAATTATACTATTCAGATATTGTACCACCGTGGTGTTTTCTCTACTTTTCTGCCTGGCGAAACAGTACCCAATTGGTTCAACTACAAGTTCACAGATGCAGCAGAAGTCTATTGCACACTACCAAACAACCTCAATAGCCACAGAACAATCAATGGATTGAGCATTTGCTTTGTATACAAATGTCCAGAACCATACACAAACGTTGGCTTGTACGACGGACCAGCAATTTGGTTACGAAATCAGACAAAAGATTTGAACTGGGCTCTGTATCCTGCTTGGTTTGGTCTTCCAGAAGATGATCAAACTGGAATTATGTGGTTAAGTTACTGGAAAGTCAATAATTTGTTTGAACAAGGAGATATTATTGAAGTTATGGGATCTCCACAATTTGCTGAATTTAAAGAGCTTGGTGTTAAAATTTTCTACATTGATGAACAAACAGAGAATTATGAGAGTAACGACCCATTTGAAGACATATTGAGGAACGATTTTAGTGATGAAGAACGTACTTATTACATTTGCACTTGAACAATTCCTGTACAAATATTATGCCTATAATATAGTATCATAATTGTTCTATTTTTTTTATTTATTTAAATATATAAATTAGTTTATGTATGTTACTATATTAAAACTGTGTTCGAAATGTATTATATATGTATTTATTTAGCTATAAGTCGTAATTAAGACGATACTCCTTTGTCCGTAATTACTTATTCAATTTTTTTTTTACTTGTCCAATTTGACAAATCAAGAAATGACAAAAAAAATTATTTACTATACCCTCAATTAATTAATTTTGAAAAAGGTAGAACTTATTGGAAAATTTAAAATTTTTAATTCATCCATATCATAATTAAGAGGGGTAAAATGGTAAACTCACTATGTCAATTATTATTTTCTTAATAGGTGTATTAATTCAAAAGTGGAGAAGTAATTAGGAACAAGGAGGAGCATAATACTAAGTAAAAATACCAAAAAAAAAAAAAAATCATCTATATTTTCATTATGCATATCATATATTTCAGGAGTCCTTTTACAATTACAAAAGAAAAAAGAAATTCTATCGATATTAATTCTTTATATATTTAATTAAATAATAATTTGAGAAAAATAGTAAAGGATGATTTTGTAGTAATTTTTTTTATAAAAAGAAAACTATAAATTTGGACTTGGACTGAAATTTGTGCCGAGGGTTCCGTTTCTAGTGCCTAAAACAGGGACAAAAGTTTGAGGCAAGTCTTTATTGATCTTTGTTCCATTTTATTAAAAAATAAAAAATCTATAGAAATTGTGGTTCTCTTAAATATTGTCCAAGTTATGAAATCCAATTAATGGAGCAAAATTGGTAAATGGTTGATTTTAAACATTGAAAAAAACATAGATTTGTTTACCGTCTCCACCCTCCTATCGTGTGTTCCAAGTATATGATGATTGATCTTCTCTCATTTTTCGTACGAATCTGTTTTTTTTTTTTTTTTTTCTGAAAAGTATATAAAAGTTGAAATCATTTTGTGTTATGTTATGCTTGGTTTAGGGGGCTCAAAAGCAGAAGCGTATATAATGACTACAGGAATTCCAATATATTTTTGGCAAGTGAAATCATATGGGACATGCTGAGCTATTCAGTGCTAAGATTTAAATGTATATGCAAGAATTGGAATGTCATAACTCAAGATTTTCAATTTGTATGTCTTGATTATAAACGTTCTCAGCTTTCTATTACCAAAAAAAAGCCAACAACAGACGAAGTTGAATTTAAATTCTTATGCGGAGTCAGTTTACATACTACTGGAGTACTCTTGCAATAGAATTGGACATTCTCCCAATACTTTAAATTACAGTTACGGTGTAAGGAACCCTGAAATACAACATCAAATACTTGAAATTCCGGATTCACAAAGACTTTATTATCGTGAATATGTCCCTTAGCTTGTGTTTGATCCATCTCACCAAGTTTTGAAGTTGCTCTCTTATATTCATGATAACCAATTAGTGATTGGTTATGAGGTTCTTGATAGCAGCTATTCTTGGCGACCCCCCTAGTACGTAACTCTCCTCAATTTGCATTGGGAACTGGTTACACCATTTGGGATATTGCCTTAGGAAATTCTCCCAGAGGAATTGATAACAGTTTTAGGATGTGCTGAATCTAATAAATTGTCGTTTAAGTGGAAGAACGACACGGACAAGAAGAAGGAACTTTTCAATACACGGTTGTCGTCTAGTCATGTTTAATTTTCCTCTCTTTTCAATTTTTTCTTACTTTAATTTGAGCTATATATGAGTTGAGTATAGGGATTGTCAGATTTTAGAGATATATAATTGAGTTTGCACATTGAAACTATTTACTCATTCTCATTAATTATTTTCTCTAATTTCTTATACCTCACTAAACTATCCAATTATTTTATTTGAGATAGTCATTCAACTAATACTAAAAATCTCTCAACTATTTAGTTATGAACACACTATAAAAAGTAGAACAATTAAAATTTAGTATCTGATGCACAAAGTTGCTGTCAAATAGAAACTACAATTTGCAGCCCAATTATAAAACATACATAGAAAGCGCTATGCAACATTAATTTATCGATTATATAAACTGAATTAGTAATTTTACTTAGTCACGAATAATTCCACCAAATATAATTCGTCTACAAAAGAATTCTTCACTTTGATTGCTTTGAGTTATAAAAATACATGATAAATTATATAAACTGAAATAATAATTTTTATAAGAGATGGGTCAAATTTTTTATTGAACATGTATCACACATTCAAGAAAAAGCAACATTAATTTATCGATTTTTACTTCAATCTAAAGTTATTTTTTTATATTTGATTTTAATAAATATTAAATTTCTTGTGTTTTGATGGAGAATATGTGAAAATCCTAATCAAAAGTTCAAATCTTAGTTAGTTCTCCTGATTCACTTATAAAATTATAGAAAAAACTTATGCCGTTATTTAAAAAAATAGTTTAAACCTCCTAATAACCTACTTAGGAGGGAATGAAAAACACAATAATATATGTATAATTGCACATAATGTTTTATTATATTTTCTTTTTGATAAAAACGTGTTTGAAATAGTATTTTATATTTAATAAAAATAAATATCTAAATTAAAGTTTCAATTAAATTTAATAATTTATAAGTATTCATTCTTTCTTAATTTATGCAACATACTTTATTATTTGGTCTACCCCGAAATAATTTAATTTAAAATTATCTTTTTATATTTAATATGATAATTTAAAAATAATTAAGTAATATAATATAAATTGTGATGGAGAGGGGGAGACGGGTAAAAATTGAAGAATAAAAAAGGAATTTTAAAAAAATGTTAGTGGAGTAGTGGACCCACAAATTTCGTGAAGAGAATATGTGACTTGAGACAAATTAAATTGAAAGTATATATTGATATTTCATAAATTTTGATATGTGTATACAATATAAAATTTTAATGATGAATAGTGTTCATTTGCATTTTCTAACTGCTCTCGGTAAAATTTAATTATTTCAATATAATAATAAAAAGATATTTCAGCGACTATGCATTATATTTCTGAAATCAATAAACCTAATGAATACATAAATATAAGAAGTTTATTTTGAATAATGAAATCATTCATGAAAATCATACCAAGGTGATCACAATTATTATTAAGTCTACATCTCTATTTAGGGCGGATTCATCCTTGGCCTAGGGGTGTCAAGCAACACCATTTCATTGGAGAATTATATGACATTCTTTTGTTGATAGAGATCAAATTTTGGTTTAATAAATATATATAAAAGTATTGACACCTCTTGACACAAGTTAAAAGTTTAGTTTAGTGGTTAAGGGGTTGCAAAAATTCCTTAAAATTGCATGTTTAAACACATTGCCTACGTTTTCAACAACTGTTGTATTAATTATATTTGTTTGCCTTCACAATAACACTTGTATTAATCACATTTGTTTGTAATAGTTACGTTGGATGTCGAGGTAAAAACTTTATATATTAATATGAATATTTGAGTTGTTTAATTTAAAATTCTAAAATATTTTTTATAATAAGTAGATAGTTTTTATTTATTTATTTTGTAATGTTTTTTCAAGTGAACTTAAATTAAATGTTAAAATTTTTTGGGACCTCAAAATTTTAGAGTCCTAAAGCAGATGTTTTACTAGCCTTTTTTTATCAATATTAACCCGGACTAATTATCAAGATGATATGTAAATTGGCAAGTTCCTTTGTTATCATGAACCTAAGATACAATGTTACCAATTATATTCATGACCATAGAAGTATCAAACAAAAGTGACGAAATAAAAGAGAACATATACTCTTTAATTACAATTACTAGTACTTTGCATATTACTCAATTGTTTTTAGTTTGGACTTTGGATTATATCTTTGTTTGTACAGTAACCTTGTGCTTCTGCCTATTTGCTAGAGTTTGATCCACAATTTTCGGAAATATAACTTTGTCTGATATTTGGGTCTCCTTTCATACTAACAAAAAAGGGAACTTCAAGCATTATGTTAAAAAATTGGTTTTAACAACAAAAAACAAACTAGTCATTTTAAGAGTCACGTATTGAATTTTGTATTAGAAATGAATTAAAAATTTAGCTAATATTGAAATTACTAGTTATTATAATTAATGTTTAGTTATTCTAAAGAATAATTTGACAATAATTAATAATAATAAAAATAAAAATTTATATGTTAATATTTTTTTCTTTAAAAAATGTAAAATATCCATTAAAATTCAATTATTTTGAAATAAAGAAAATAATCGTGTGTATAATTTATGTAAATGATGAGTAAAAATAAACAATGAATCCGGATGGCGGTGTAACAATAAACAATATGCTACTTGCCTTTAATCGGGAGAAGGATGTCCTGCTAAAAATTTCAGTTTAAACTGCTCATATGCTTTTCACGAGCATATTCCATCAAAGATGGTAAATAATACGTAATCAATTATTTGGTGATCCCCTCAAATCTCATGAAGCTTAGTTGAATCTGCTATGGAGCAAGCTAAATTTTCTTACCATGTTTTCTTGAGTTTCAAAGCCCATGATACTGGCAAAACTTTTACTGATCATCTCCATACAAATTTGTTTCGAGCTGGGTTTCATGTGTTCAAGTGTGAAGATGATGATGAAGAAGAAGACAAAATAGATGAGTTGAAGTTAAAATTGAAAAAGGGAATCGAGCAATCGAGGATGTCAGTGATTGTATTGTCCCCAAACTACGCATCATCAGAGAGGTGTCTTTACGAGCTTGTCGTGATTTTGGAGCAAAGGAGGAATTCTGGGCATATAGTCTTACCTGTCTTCTTTAACGTGGATCCTTCAGATGTAAGGAAGCAAAAGGGAAGTTTTGGGAAAGAAAATTTCCAGATTGTCAATGGTGAGAGTCACAAGTTGAGAGATTGGAGAAATGCTCTCAAAGAAGTGGCAGATTTGGGAGGAATGCCCTTGCAAAATCAAGCTGATGGGTAACTTTTCCCCCCTTTTCATTTTCCCTCTCTTGAGGACAAATGACTAATAAATTGTATTAACCCTGGTGTCTTGTTGACCAACTTGAGATCAACTCACAAATTCCGAGGTATTTGCTACCTTCCACCATCACATGTACCGGATAACTCTGTCTGTCAAGGCTTGGATGACCTATTACTTTTGCCTCCATTGGAATTGAACATGGGACTTCATAAGGTTCTCAACCTACTTCATTGACTAGTAAGCCACACCCTTCCGGTGCTTAGATTATTATATAGATTGAAGACCTGTAAGAGTTAGTATTCATTTAGTTTTCCCCAATTTTCTCTATCTCTGACTAAAGACTTTTCGATTCTAGTATTAAGATGTTTCAAAGGCTCTATCACATGCCTCACTCACCATCAATTGTCTAGGATAGATATTACCCGTTCATGTCAATCTCCTTCCCAATTTCATGCAGCTTAAAGTCTGCTTTATCAAGATCTCCTTAATGTTGTTTAGCACCAGTTCAATAAAAGTTCCTTTTCCCCATCAAGTTTCATCATAATGATCAGAAGACTTGTCAAAAAAGGAGAAAGTGACCAATAGCTAAAATGTTTTCGTAGAACTCGTGACTGGTGGCATCACTATGTTGTTGAAAGACGGAGTTGTGGGATAAATAAATAACTGGACAGTCGGAGCTGTGTCCTTCTAATGCGCCTTCATAGTTTTTGATTATGAAGCCTTTAGGTCTTTGTCATCCTGAAGATGAATATTTTCATCTGTATGTATTTGAGTATTTGTCTTTTTCAATTTTGTGGAATACTTCTCTAAAACATATATCTGTTTATTATCACCATATTTTTTTAGCTCTTCACTTCAGATTTGATGGCATTCAAATTTAATCTGAACTTGTAGACATGAGGCAAAGTTCATTGAGAATATTGTTGAAGTGGTTGCAAACAAGCTACGTCCCAGAGACTTACACAGTGCTCCTTACCTCATTGATATCAATTATCGGGCAGAAGATATTATCTCCTGGTTACAAGATAGATCAACTAATGTTGGGATATATGTGATTTGTGGGATTGGTGGAATTGGGAAGACAACCATTGCCAAATTTGCCTATAACTCAAGTGCAAGATCATTCGAAGGAAGCAGTTTTCTTGCAAACTTCAATGAAATTGCAAAACAATGTAATGGCTTAGTTCGTTTGCAGAAGCAAGTTCTGTATGATATTGTTGGGAGAAAGGAGAGGATATCAAATGTTGATGAAGGAATTATGATGATTGAAGATGCCGTTGGCTATAAAAAAGTTCTTCTTGTTCTTGATGATGTTGATGATGCTGACCAGATAGATACAATTTTAGGAATGACAGATTGGCTTAATCCTGCTAGTAAAATCATTATAACAACGAGGCATGAGTCATTGCTAAAGCCTTCTGTACCTCACAAGGTGCTTAAACTAGAAGTCTTGAATAAAATGGATTCCCTAAAGCTTTTTAGCTGGCATGCCTTTGGAGAAGATCATCCTTTGGAAGGATATCTTGAGCTCTCAGAAAGAGTGGTTCTTCAATGTGTAGGACTTCCTTTAGCTCTTCGTGTTTTAGGCTCAGCTCTATCGGGTAGAAGACCAGAAATATGGGGAAGTGCATTAGAAAAGCTGGAAACAATCCCTGATGGTCATGTCATTGAAAAACTTAAACTGAGTTTTGACACTCTTGAAGATGACCATGACAAAGATATATTCCTTCATATAGCTCATTTCTTTCTTGGGATGGACAAAGATGACTCTGTTAGAATACTGGATGGATGTGGTTTCCACACAATAATTGGGATGCAAAACCTCATTGATAGAAGTCTTTTGACAATCAGTGACTTAAATAAGTTGGAGATGCATCAGTTGCTTAGAGACCTGGGGAGAAATATTGTTCGTATGGAATCACTGGATCCTGGAAAACGTAGTAGACTTTGGAATAACAAGAATTCTTTCAGAGTATTGAATTATAAGACTGTAAGGCGTGTGTTATGTTCTTCTTTTCCATCTTTGTTGTGCCATACCCTCACAATTTATCTTTTTCTCCGAATTTCCTGTTAGGGCACTGAAAAGATTGAAGGGATCAGCCTTGACATGCCCATATTGATGGAAGATAAATCAGTGAAGCATTCGATAGACACTTCATCAAGCAACTCAAATTACAGCCTAGGGACTGATGCATTTACGGTTATGCGAAACCTAAGTGTGCTCAAACTAAATGATGTGAACCTTATTGGATGCTTCAAAGAATTTCCCAAGAGATTAAAATGGCTGTCTTGGCGTAAATGCCCTTTAAAATCCATTACTAGTGACCTTTCCTTGGAAGGACTAGTATCTATTGACATGCGGTACAGCAGTTTACAACAAACATGGAGTGGAACCGAGGTATAAATAATCTTTTCTTTTCCTTTTTTTCGCAGTAGTTTCTTGCATAATCAAGATTGTAATTTCAGAAGAAATAAAATTGAATGCTTTTTTCCAATCAGGTTTTGAGATTTCTCAAGATTCTCAACCTTAGTCATTCTTGGGAACTTACCAGAACCCCTAGCTTCGCTGGAATGCCCCGGCTGGAGAAATTAATTCTTAAAGACTGTGTTAAACTGGTTGATATTGATGAATCTATCGGTTATCTCCAAGAAATCGCCCTACTGAATCTAAAATACTGCAAGAGCATCAGAAAGCTGCCAAGAAATATTGGTAAACTTGAAAGTCTTAAGACACTTGATATATCCTTCTGCTCAAGCCTGGAGTCGCTGCCTATGGAGCTTAACATGATAGATTCTTTGAAAGTGCTTAGAGCTGATGGAATCAGTCTAAACCAAATAATCTGCAACACCAATGAGCAGAAATCATTACAGGCACTATTTTCATCTTGGATATCAAAGTCAAGAATCTCTCCTGAAATATCATGGGCCTTTTTACCAAGCTCTTTGGTGAGCTTGAGTCTTGTGAGTTGCAGGCTGTCTGATGGATCTTTTCCCGAGAAGTTTAGCAATCTTCCACTGCTCGAAGAACTGGATCTAAGTGAAAACTCAATTAGTTGCCTCCCAGAGTGGATCAAGAGTCTCCCTCAGCTCCAAAGCCTCAGTGTCAAGTCTTGTAAGATGCTCAAATCACTTACTGAGATGCCAAATAGCATTTCAGAATTGTCAATACATAGTTGCTCATCGTTGGAGATGGTGACATACCAATCATTGCTATCAGAATATCCAAGCCTGGTTCACGATTACAATTGTGACAGTCTAGTCATGATGCAAGGAAAGTTTAAGTTAGAAGCTCTAGAAAATGCTGACCCGCAGATGCTTAAACGTTTTGGTCTGAATCCTGAAACTGTGGAAAATGCTATGGTGAAAATGGACCTCTTTTCGAGTTTCAAGATAAAAATGCTTCCACCACAGGTTTTACTCTCACGCTGTCCATATGACTACAAAATCTAGATTTACTGTTGATCCTTAACCGTTTATTTCTATGACTGGAACAGGGGTTGTACGAGGAAGGCATCTTCAGTGCATTTCTTGCTGGAAATAAGATACCTAGGTGGTTCACGAAGTTAAAGAAAGCGAATGCAGTAAAATTTAATATATCTCAACCTCTCAAAAATATCCAAGGCCTATCCATAGCAGTTGTGTATACAAGTTCTGAAAGTGAAGAGAATGAGTTTTCAAGAGCCCACTGGCGAAGACAGGAGAATATTGTACAGAATAGGACTAAAGATTTGAAGTGGATGCACTATCCAAGAGTTTTCGGCGTGCCAGAAGGTAATGAAGAAATAACATGGTTAAGTCACTGGAAATTTGGAGATATGCTACAAGATGGAGATGAAATTTCTATTTTAGTCCGTTTGAATGGGTTGAAGGTAAAGGAACTTGGCATCGACATTTTGTGTGAGGAGCTGTCAAACTGCAAAGTTGCAAGCCCAGATCCCTTGTTTTCCAATGATAACGTTCCTGGAGATGTATCACAACGTGGTAGTGTTTTTAAAATTGGGAGGGGACAGTAGATATATTGTAAGATATTTGACATGATACAATAAATATTACATTAAACAATATTTTATCCAATTTAAATAAATTTTTGTCACTGAGAGTTGTTAAATTATCAAGTAGGAATTAGGAATAGCATATTCACGTTTTAAAAAGATTAATTCTATACTTATTTCACTTTATGTGATTAAAATTGGGGAAATTGTATATAATAGTAAACTATTAATTCAAATTAAATGCTATAAATATAGTTTGATTTAATTGTACCTCATAGCAAACTATTGCTATTTCACCTCTCTCCTGGTGAATCTCGTTCTCCCCCTCGCCTCTCTCATTTTTTATACAAACGCAAGTGTATAAAGTGCGTTTGTGTTTGTATAAAGCGAGAAAAAATTGTATATATACATATATTTTCGTTCCCCTCTCCCAGATCTCGCTCTCTCACTTTATACAAAAAAACGCAAATTGTATAAAATGTGTTTGTGTTTGTATAAAGCGAGAGAAAATTGTATATATACATATATTTTCGTTCCCCTCTCCCAGATCTCGCTCACTCACTCGCCTCTCTCACTTTATACAAAAACTCAAATGTACAAAATGCGTGAAAATTGTATAATATTTTCTTTCCCCTCTCCCATATTTCGCTCGCTCACTCGCCTCTCTCACTTTATACAATTGATCTTTTTGTATATGTATACCAAAGCAGATTATACAACTGCTTTCTTTTGTATATGTATAGCGAAATATACATATTTATGTTTGCTATGGAGCGCAATTATGCAAACTTTGTTATAGCATACAAATATGAATTTTGTGTTTACTATATGTGAAAGTTGCTCATTAAAATTTGTGTTTTTCTATATAATAAAAAAAACTAAAATATTAATTCTATTTAGCAGGAAAATAATATATTTTAAAATAGTATGCTTGTTTATTTAAAAATATTAATTTCTATTTAGCATGAAAATAATTATTTTAATGAATTTCATATTTTATTATTTTAAAATTAATTTGGTTGGGTTTGTGTCGGGGAGTGGAAAATGACAAAATATAAAAAACTTAATTTGGGTGGGGGGAGTTGAAAAATGAAATGACAAAATATGGTAGAACGGGGGTGGTTTGAAATCTTTGCAAATTTGCTCTGCAATCCTACCGCTTGTCATCCCTGATTGAATGTCTTTCATTGAAATAACTAACATTTGAATGAAATAAATATTATTTTTCTTAATGAGAATAAATGTTCAATAAATACGTAAGCAAAAGAATTCTAATGATTTTTCTTTAATTTTTTTTATTTGTAGATCCATGTTTATGTGGCAAAAAAAGTTGCAAATAATTCAATGTTTATATTTATTTCAATCCTTATAATAGTACTTTTTATTGTTGAAATTTTAGGGTTATTTTTCTGATAAGATAATAATTAAATCGAGAGAAGCATGTCCCAATATCAAAATTTTAAGTTTAACTTTCTCATATGTTTTTCAGTTTTCATGACCTTTTCATATCATTTGAAGAAAATTTAAGTTATAATTAGCCTCCAAATATATAATTTATATTTTTCATTTATATGTAACAAAACCTTGAAAGTTTTGATTAGGATGTACACTTGAGGCTCATTTTACTTTCAAAGTCATTTGCTTAGGACAATTTAAATCGGTAAAGATTTCGGCAAAAAATTGTGAATATAATACTAATGGATTGTTTATTCATAGCTTTTGTGGACTGAGATTCCTGGTTGATTTTTTTTATCTAATAAGAATTTATTTTTGCTGTTTTTGTGAACAAAAAATTTTGCAATCCAAAACTTGTGGATAATGATCCCTTCAAATTAGGCTTAAACATAACCGAAAGTAATCATAATAATGATGAATCTGTTGTAATGAACATCAACAACTTATTAGGATTAAACACTTTGGATTTTTAAAGCATTCCAAATTGATAAGATGCGGATTACCTTTGACCACAATTCTGTTGGAATAACAACTAAAATATTATTTCAAAAAATATATGTTTTACAAATAGTTTTGTTTATGTAAATATTACATAATTATCAGCTAGTCCTTAGCTTTCTTGATTGCTGGGGCTGAAGATTCCTTGAGATAAGATAATGGACGCTCCATTGTTTTCTTTTGAATAATTGGCCGACATGATGTGATCCTTCTTTTTGTCTTTGAGAAAAAGAAAAGAATTCCTTTTCTTTATTGCTTCATGACGTAAGTGCTTACGTCATCTTTTTTGTCTTCATCTTTATGCTACATCAGGCATGATCATGATCTAGCATTTTGCATGCTAGTTTTCATGTTTCTTCAGTGGCTCCTAGCCTGTGAAGTTCTATGTCGAGTATTCTCTCTTTTAGTTCTTTGGACTTAGTTTTACCTTTAGTAATCAAGACCCAATCATTGTCCTGATCGATGACTCTACAATCTTCCTTGTAAAATCTTGTAAGAATAGCGTATAAGGCTTTTATTCCCAACGCTCTTCTAGTTTGAATCCATTTTTTATTAAGGTGGAGAAGTTTTTTATCAACTCCGGTGGCCTTAACATTAAATTCCTTAATTTTCTCAACTGAAATGTAGTTGAGTGTAGGATAATATGCTTGCAAATCTTATAAAGTTGAATATCAGCTCACTGATGTGGCATGCTTCAATGGGCAGTATTACTATTTTTCTATATTTTCAGAATTTTCAATTTTTACCTTCATATTCTATTCAAAAATATGTTTAAAAAATTAAATTCTCTTCCCTCATTATGAACCTTCATAACATTTATTTCATCCAAAAGTAACGATACAATGACTATAAATGTACAATAACTAAAAAGGAAACGTTAATTTTGCTTAGTTTAATTTGATTAAGTTACTGCTAAATCGACAGTAACTAAAATTAACCAAAAAATAATGTTAATTTGAGTATAGCATTAACTTAAAAAGGAACGTGAATTTTGCTTAATTTAATTAAACGACAGTAACTAAAATTAACCAAAATAATAATGTTAATTTGAGTATAGCATTAACTTAAAAAGGAAAGTGAATTTTGCTTAATTTAATTTAATTAAATTACTGCTAAAATTGGAGGTAACTAAAACTAACCAAAAAGGAACATTAATTTGATTAGCGTAAGTTTTCTTATACCAAAATAACTAATGACTAAAAATTAGCACTAATTAAGAGATTTTAATTTTCTTAATTGTGAAACTAATGATTAGCTATAAGTTTTCTTCCTTTCCATTTTTTCATCAACAGTTTCTTTATTTTCAATTATATTAATTAGTATATATTAATCTTTGAGTAATTATATTTTAATTAATTTTGTGTCTTTTCATATTCTATATTTTCGTACTATATATAGATTGGAAGTGTATTTTTTTTCTCTTCATGTAGTAGCTTGCTTACTATATTTGTTTTTAACTATTACTGTTAGTCTAACATATTTTTTATTTTTTTTCAGAGTTGGTCATTATAATAGACATGATTTGATGATAAGGAATAAGATTTGAAGAATGTGGAATGCGATTTATTTCAAGACAAAAGGTGAATTGATTTATAATTTTTCACTGTTCATATGAAATTCAGATGACACTAATTAAATTCTCTTTGGTATGTTCAATCTCTTATTTGACTTCTTGATCACCTTAATTCTCATAATGTATTGTGAAATTATGTATGTTGAAGTTTTTTTTTTTTTTTTTTTTTTTTTTTTTTTTTTTATAGAATGTGTTTGGCAAGTGGACTAACTAATGTGGAATACAAAGTCATCCATGAGACAAAGAACAAATTGAGATGCTTGATGAGAAAATTTGTGGAGGGAAACTAGGGATTCACGTATAAGTAGGAATTGAGAATTTATCTCGATAGTAATCATAAATTTTTATAATATTTTGTTACATTAGATGTTTGTATGGCAATTACATGACTCCTTTTATTTGGTGAAGTTATTCCTAAATTAGAAGATCAATCATTCTCTCTATTGTCACCATAAAAGTGTGCTAAATGAGTTCAGAAAGCATAATTATGCAAGTTTTTCATAGAGATGCCATGAGTAAGTTTCATTGTTTAGACTACTACATTATTGTACATTCATCAAATTTTTGAAGAAAAAAAATTTGTGCTCTTTTGAATATATTGTCTCAAAGCCTATATCAAATATGCATAATAATGTCATATGTACTTCACTTTGTTAAAAAAATATGTTGTGTGTTTGTGTTTTTATGATTTTAGTTTTATTTCATTTTTCTTTTATTTGAAATGCAAATTTACTTATTTTTAAATGTGGTTCACCTAACACTAATAAAAATATTATTTTTGTGTTTTAATCAATATAACAAAATTAAAATTTATTTCCACTATATGAAGTTATAAAAATATTATTTTCAATTTATTGATTTTCTTATAAACCGCGCAAAGTGCCGTCAAATTCACTAGTTATTAAATAAGTATTGATCTTATCAACTGGTTTAATTTTCTCTCTATT